CTGAATATATGTTTTTATCATCAGCTCATGAGACATTCTCTAAGATTGACAATATCCTAGGCCACAAAGCATGTTTCAAAAAATTTAAAAAAATAGAAATTATACCATGCTTCTTCTCAGACCACAATGGAATAAAATTAGAAATCAACTCCAACTGAAACTCTGATCACTACAAAAAGTCATGGAAACTAACAATCTTCTGCTGAACAATTATATCATTAAGGAGGAAATAAGATGGAAATCAAAAGGTTCTTTGAACTAAATGACAAAGGAGACACAAATTATCAAAATCTGTGGGACACAGCTAAAGCAGTCCTCAGAGGAAAATTTATATCCATAAATGCCTACATCCAAAAGACAGAAAGATCACAAATAAACAATCTAACGAATCATCTCAAAGAACAGGAAAAGGATGAGCAAACTGACTCCAAACCCAGCAGAAGAAAAGACATAACAAAGATCAGAACAGAACTAAATGAAATTGATAACAAAAAAACTATACAGAAGATTATTAAAACAAAAAGTTGGTTCTTTGAAAAAATAAACAAAATAGACACACTTCTGGCTAGATTAACAAGAAGCAGATAAGAAAGAACTCTAACAAGCTCCATCAGGAATAAAAAAGGAGAAATTAAAACTGATGCCATGGAAATACAAAATATCATCTACGAATACTATAAAAACCTCTATGCACATAAACTGGAAAATGTGAATGAAATGGACAAATTCTCAGAAACACACACCCTCCCTAGGCTCAATGAGGAAGAAATAGAATTCCTGAACAGACCAATATCAAGTTCCGAAATTGAAACAGCAATAAAAAAAACCTTCCTAAAAAGAAAAGTGCCTGACAAGATGGTTTCACATCTGAATTTTACCAGACTTACAAAGAAGAACTGGTGCCTATCCTGCAGAAATTATCACACAATATTGAGAAGGAAGGAATCCTCCCCGACACATTTTATGAAGCCAACATCACCCTGATACCAAAACCAAGAAAGGACGCAACAAAAAAGGAAAACTACAGACCAATATCCCTTATGAATACAGATGCAAAAATTCTCAACAAAAACCTAGCAAACCAAACTCAGGTGCTTATCAAAAAAATAATCCATCACAGCCAAGTGGGCTTCATCCCAGAGATGCAGGGATGGTTCAACATACACAAGTCTATAAATGTCATTCACCACACAAATAGAAGCAAAAACAAAGACCATATGATCCCCTCAATAGGCGCAGAAAAAGCACTCGACAAAATTCAACACCCTTTTATGATAAGAACACTTAAGAAAATAGGCATGACACGACTTACCTAAAAATATTACAAGCCATATATGACAA